ATCATTTCTTATTCTGCAAGATACTGTTCCATTCTTTTTTTATTCTTTACTTCGAAATTACCAAGGAAAATCTGAATATTTGTTAAACTCTGATGAAAGTTTGCATACTGACTCGAACTCTTCGAGCAAAGCTTTATTTTCTGTTTTGTTCGTTCGGCTCGAGTTAGGCAGCAAATTGAAGGCAGCTTCATTCTAAGTTTCATGAGTGGATAGAATGAAATACGATTTCAAATCTGGAGCCATTTCTTGAAGTGTACGGCGTTTAGTAAGTATTTTATTTAATTAGATTTACGAAGCACATTTATTGTACCTTTTTGTTTTATTATAGGTGCGAAGTGTAAAATAAGTTTCTTCAATAGATCATAATAATAAGATTTATATTAATAAGAAATGCATATCAGTATTTTTTTTTTCTTTTAATGTGCAAATAATTTAACCAGACGTTAAATTCAGTATGAGTTTGAAATTTATTTTCTTTCCCATTGCATTTGAAAATCAAAATTTTAATTTGGGAGAATATTAGACAATTTTGATCAATTAAACACTTTTATAACGCCTTAAGCAAGTTTTGAAATCATTTGTAAAATCAGAAAATTTTCAAATTTCAGTCGCTACTTCCAATTATTAACTAAATTTATTTAATGCCTAAGTATTTATTTTAATTAATTTTTTTTTCTTTTTTATGCGGCTTAGAGATACAGGAAGAGACTCACAAAAATTTAAATCCTCTCGTCAAATGTACGTTTATAAAATCCATCGACGGTAATTGTATGAATTCAAAATTTACATATTTTAGAAATGTCATGATGTCAGCAATTTCCAACAACACACTATATAAATTGTATACATTATATATATTGTTTTAATATTTAAATTCATTCAATTATATTTGTGTTCATTCTAGAATTTCCTTGTTTTTATTAATTTTCAGTTAAAGTGTAATTTATTTTCGTTGTGACTAAACATACCAAGATTTATATCTTGTGAAAGTTTTATTGTGATTGAAGTTACATTAAACGTTTAATGATTAAACGTATAGTTTTATGCTGTTATAAAATAGGCTGAGCTGATAACCATTAAGTAGCTTTGATGAAAGTATTCTTAAATTGTAGTATTTTTTGAAAATCAATTTTACTTCATTGAAAAGAAATTAAAAAAAAAAAAAAAGNTGTATCAGTTATTGAAAAAAAAATAAAAAAAAAAAAAAAGTGTCAAATTTTTGGACTACTTATAAAAATGTATGTTGATTGTTTCACTATAAGTATTTCCCTGAATACATGATTATTTACAACCTTAATGTTCAAAAAATTCTGATCTATTTCCACTATTATATTTTACTTTGGCTTGAGCAAATTAATGTTTCATGCATGAAAGTCGCATGGATTTCGTCGTCGCAAAGTCGTTTTTTTTTTTTTCTGGGNGGGGGGGGGGGGGGGGTAGACAAAGTTAAAATCTCAGTTCGTACTCTCATACATTGAAAATCATCAGGAAAACCGGGAATTGACAGGGTAAACGAGATCCAAAAAATCCAGGGAATTATCAGGAAAAAACTTTATTTTACTCTAATAGCAGAAATTTTCCCTGAATTCGACACCCTATTAAATTCCAGAATTTCAGTCTTCCGTTTTAAAATTTGCGTTTGCGCAATTGAGGATTTGAAAAAAAAAATTTTTTTCCCCGGATCGACCATCATTTAAGTGTTTGCTGGAAATTATATTATTCTTAAGCGTTTCTGGAGTATTGTCAATAGATTGAATTAGCAACTTGAAACTGCTGTGTACTTTGACAGTATTGACATATAATTTATTGTTCTAAGTTAACATTTGTTTCTCAATTTTCGTTAACCTAGATTTATTATGACAAATTATTGTATTACAATTTCTCGGATAGTTCATATTTATTTGTTATCTATTTAAGAAACAATATTTTTTAATTGATAGAATTCTGATTCCTCAGAGGTGCGGTATCGTTTGCAAGTTTGCCCGACTTGGACTTACATCTCTCATTAAAAATCGTCTGCTTTTATAATATTTTTTATGTGATTGGGAACAGAAATAAAAGCGAATGATATTTAATACATAAACGTACAATTATTTTTTACTTAAAGCAAAGTAGATAATTATTTTACTATGACGATTGTAGCTTTCTCCTTTTACAAGTAACGGATGAATTTTTTTTTAATTCACAATCAATTTTTTACTCAATAAATTCGTTCTTATTCATAAGTTTTAAGAGAAAGATTTAAAAAAAAAAAAAAAAAAAGATCAGTTGATTTTATTCTATATTGCTTTGTCCAGATTTTTAATATTTATGTTAACGCTTCTTTTAACTATAGTTTCCGTTTTGTAATTAAGTGTTCTTTAATTTGATTAATAAGTTTTCCTTGGTATTTTATCATTTTCTTTTTTTCCCCCTTAAAATTAAGGTATCTAATACATCGGATTTCTATTTTTACATGAGTTAATTTATTGCTTTAAATAAATTTTTATCTTATTATAATTTGGTTTTATTAAGTTCGTTAATACTATTTGGTTTTATTAAGTTTATTATAACTTGGCTAAACTTAAGTTAACTGAACAACATCAATTAACTTATGCATTTGTTAGTTTCTTTTTGCGTTGGTTTGTTATTTATCGCTAAAATAAGTATTTTTTTAAAAAATATTCTTTTTATTAGTTTCGCAGTTTTACCATCGTGTTCATATTTTCTATCTAATTATCTACCTTATTTATGATTCATTTTTTTGTAAATCGAAAATCGTAATGTATTGCATTTTTATAGTCCCCTCCTTCGATTCTTAAAAACGTTCGTCAGCTGATGAAGTCTGATTTAATTTCAGGTTAATGCAGATTGTTTGTATAATATTTTTATTAATTTAGTATTTTTTTCAATAATTTATATAGAATGACTTAGTTATCGTAAAGTTGTTCTTTTATTTTGTTGATTAATAAGGTCCACATTTATTTGTTGTCTTCTTGCACCTTTGTTTCATATTTTAGGATAATTTATTTATTTATTTTATAGCTAAGAATTGAAAATATTACTTTTTTATTGTTTACTTATTTGCTTTTCTGTTGATAAAAAGCATTATATGTCAGCCAAGTGGTTAGCTTGCCCTACTGTGAAACCGATCGCTGCGAATTCGAATCTCGCTCAGGGCATTGATGTTCAGCTCTGTGCGTTGTCCTCTTAGTTGTGTGTATGTGACCTACCCTTTGAATGGGTATATGTGGCAGTGTGGCATGAATAATGTTGCTCGCCTCCGTGACTTAGGTTCGAAGGTTCCCACCGGGTAACGTTAAATGAGCAGCACTTCCTGCATCTTCCAAAGTGACGAATAATTTCTCGTCGTTAGAAAAAAAAACAAAAAAAAAACATTATTTTTTAGTTGCATAACCCATTTGTCTTAATTAATGGATTAATTACTATTACTGTTTGTCTAAACATGGATATAATTTTAATTAAAATCCAGTCGATTATGGCACTGAACGCTTCTGAACTATTTAACTTTTTGCTTTCGTTCTTATGTTCTCTTATACTAATGTTATTATGACGTATTATCAGCCTCTTTTGGGGGCATAATAATCTTGAAGATTTGTGTGACAGGGTGCTTAGCGTTTTTAAAAAGTGCTTAAAGGAGCTTATTTTTGATTTTCGTTTTTTAAAAGCCCTTAAAGGTGCTTTTTTCATATGGTGTTTTTAAAAAGTGCTCAATTTTCCCTTTTTCAAAATGAGATTTTTCTTTTACTATGTTGATTTTCGCTTCGAACTATGCTAAAAGATACAGTTCAGATTGTTCTTTTCAACGTTTTCACAATTAATTCAACCACTATTTTAGTCACAAGCGAATGAAAACGCCATTCGTTTTGCCCGATTCAAAATTTCATGATTTTTGACAATTGTCAAAAACAGTGCGAAAAGGCTTTTTTTTTTGACATGACGGTTAAAACAAGATAAAACCGTGAATTGTCAAAAACTTTCTAACCCTGCCTAATTATGATATTTTTTTAAAGTGCTTAAAAATAATTTTGAGTGCTTGAAAAGTGCTTAAAAGGTGCTTATTTTTTGTTGAATAATTCGACTACGCTCCCAAGAGTGAAATTTTTACTTCAGATTTCGATTTCGGGGGGATTCTGAATTATCCTTAATTTATGGGCCTGAATGCAATCAATCATAGTTCATAATCAAATCAGCTGTTATTCAATTGTTTCTTGTTAAAGTTGTCTCGTTTATTCATTGCGTTTATTTTATGTTACGTCGAAATGATAATGGCAATTGATCTTCCACGTTAGTGCTGCCATCTTTATTTCTCAATTTCAACAACTTAACTGATACCATTCAAGTGGCTTATAGAGAGGCTTTAATATTTAGTTCGATAATTTATAGCATTCAATTGCCAATTTAATCTATTTAGAAATACATAAAAGATAATTATTTTTTCTGTTTACTGTAAAGTCGCGATTTTCGACTTTTTTTTTAATAGCTAAAATGCATGGGGAAATTAAATATCAGTTGTAGCAAAGAATGAGAAACAAGTTTTACAAGCAGCTCACTATTTTTTGCATGTAAGAGTAATTATTTTTATTACTAATAATTAAATTTTACAAGTGTAAAAACTGTATGTAACAATACTGATTTAAACATTTGACTAAAAAAAATTTTTTAGAAATATTTTAATAGAAAAAATTCATGTAAAATCATATTTTACTTAAAGAATAGGAAACAGGTTTTTAATTGTAAACTTATGTTTATTTATTTAAATTATTACTTTTAACTTCTAGTCAAGTTTTACATAGTTTGGAAACTAAATGAAAACATTATTATCTAAAATCTATTTATTTTAAATAAACGCAAAAAGCAGAAAAAATCTCACAGCAATTAAAAGAAAACACATGATTGAACAAATTTTGAAAAATTGCTGTTTAATTATATCACACAAAATCTATTTGAAAAGATAAAAAATAGTCAGTTAAAGATGGATTTTTGTAAAAAAAATGATATGCTTGTAAAAATTATATATTTGGGAAATTAACAATTTTGTTTGTTTTACATTGGTAGCCTAGCAGTAAAACGTAAAGCTAAGTAAAATTTTATAGACCGCACTTATGACATGCGCAGGCTTCTGGTTCTTTTAAATGGATGACCATAGTGCCCTGTTGTCCGAAAATTCTTTTCCCGTCTTGCGTGTAACAATCTGTTAAAAGAATCTCTCTTTGCCTCATCCAAGTCTCTCGACAGCAATGGCAGTCCTAAAAAATACAAATTAATTAAATTAATTAATGAAAAATACAAATTAATTTAATTAATTAATGAAAAATGCAAATTAATTAAATTAATTAATAAAAAATGCAAATTAATTAAATTAATTAAAAAAAATACAAATTAATTAAATTAATTAATGAAAAATACAAATTAATTAAATTAATTAATAAAAAATAAAAATTAATTATGAAAAATGCAAATTAATTAAATTAATTAATAAAAAATACAAATTAATTAGATTNAAACGACTCATAATAATTTTAAAGAGTAAAACATTGTTTTAGTTCAATATTTTTACTTTTATTTAAGTCATGTCATAAGGCAATTTTAGCGCAATTTTCGCACTTTAAGGGCATTTTTTTGCACTTTTAAGGGCATTTTTTGCAGTTCATAAGGGCATTTTTTGCACTTTTTAAGGGCATTAATTGAGATTTTTTAGGTCATCAAAATCCGGGCTCTAGTAATCACTTTTCAAGTTCTCAGGCAATCAAATGTTTTTCTTTTTCTAAGTTAAATTTCGTTTGTGTTTTTCCTTCACTTAAATATTAATTTGCGATCCTTGATGTGTATACATTTCTGACTTACAAGGATTCTAAAAAATAGATATCGAAGGAATCATCACGGAATAACGAATGTCTGTTAAAAGAATAAGGAAAAATACGGTACATGATTATGGGTTAGATCCCCTTTGCTATCTGGATAACCATGGGAAGTTGTCGTGGTTTTCCTTTCCGTGTAAGGGAAAAATGTCTTACTTTTAATTAATGCATGCATGAGCCAAAAATAGATTTAAGGACAGGATGTGAACTTAAAAGTGTGAGAAAGTGTTTCGATTAGAATAATAAATTAAGGAAAGGATTTACAGAAAAGGAATAACATAAAAAGATTAATTGAAGCTTTTTATGTTACATATACATACAGGTATGAAATGTATTAAATTTCAAAAGTTGCTCAATATTATAAAAAGATATGTCTTCTAGTGGTAGATAAAATGGTCAGAAAAATGCATATATTCCTTGAGCCCTTCTCATTCACTACTAAATAAGGCCTCACTTGTTCTAGCATTCTTTGCTCAAGAAATCGTTATACCTACTGCTTGCTGTCCCATTTTTAAGTGACAATAAATGTAATTTTCTGGCAAATTTTAAGTCGATTTATTAACATTTCATATTAAATACAGAAATGGAGGATTTGAAGTGTGTTGAATCATGACACATGGTCCAGATTAGCTGTAACAATACTATGATATATGGTTAAACCATTTTATTACAGTTCTTAAATTTGATGACGCGATGATATGCTTTAACATCTCATTTCACTTGAGATTAAGGGCCAGTTTGTAAATGATTCAGACGATCGTTATTTGGTCCAGTGTTGAACCAATTTTTGCTGAAGTGCATTATTAAAAATTAAATTAGTTTGAACATGAATGGGTCAGAGCCACATGAATATGAATACATTGCATGAAGAAGTCAAACACTATTGATGTATAAATGCTTTTCTTACTTTAAGAAATCCAGTAGGAGTGACCACGCTGGGCTGTACCTGAGACGTGCAAGTGCCTTCGCATTTCGTGACACCAATGTTTCCTTCACAGGATCGGACAACGTTGCCCAGATCATCATATTCTTCCTTGGTGACCTGTATAGTGGATGGCATGGTTTCGCAAGCATCTTTCATGGCCGCAATCACCTCCGCCATTTCCACTTCCCTCTGGTGCTCCAGGCAGAGAATCATGTTCATCATGAAGAGGAAGATCCACGTGGAAAGAAGGTGATTGCTCATCTGCTGATGATTGTTTTCTAGGAAATAAATGTAAACCTGCATTAATTTTGAAAATTCAAGGCTTAAGAGGCCCGCCATCTTGGATTTTAGGCTTACTTGATATTCTTTTTTTTTTTTTAACTTTTGATGATATAGTATTATTATACAGCACAGTGCCCTTCAAAAAGGGTAGAAAATAAAACAAAAATGTAGAAAACAAAGGGGTCGCTTTATTAGATTAGGAGAAATAGCGATTGATAATTTTTAGAACTCTTACGAATGTTTCTTCAAATCTTTAAGGCAATAAAATGATACGTTTTGTTGTTTTGAGTAAGTAATTTCAAACTTCACGTTTCTCAGTTTTGAGATTTTTTAAAATCTAATTTTATTACAGTTTATTAAACTGATGAAAACTGATTTGGGTGACGCTAAAAAGTTTTTTTAACGTTAATTGCTATAAAAACTAAAATACTTATCAAAAATCTAAAAGCAGGCAACTCTGTTATTAACAGCTTTTAATAGGTAATTATATAGTATTATTTAGTTGTCTATCAAAAACTGTTAATTGCAGAATTATATTGACATAATTTAATCACATAAAAAAATTAATGGAAAATACCGTAACGCTTTATATCTCAAATTATGTTTGGGTGGCGGCCTTGTATTTTACATGTATCGAAAGATACTGCCAAATATCAAGAAATATGTAGATACTCTTTATATATAATAATGTAAAATGTTACTCGTATAATAATTACTAAGTTATAACTATTAAAAAAATGTTACAAAGAGTAAAAGAAAGTTAATTAAAAGACATTGCAAGTAAATATTTCTTTTCCAGGATTCGGATAAAGTTTTATCAGAGTTATTATAAGTTGGTGTCATAGTCGATTTCTTGGAAAAGTTCGAAGGCGAACATTTAAAACTAACCAACTCTACAGCTTTGGGAGAATAGTACCAATTAATTTCATTGAGCCGTGATGGCTCAGGGGATAGAGCGTCCATCTTCCAATGAGGTGAACCGGGTTCGAATCCCAGCGATGGCTGGTGGAAGCGAATTCCGCGTCCGGATTGCACTGAGCACAGTGCTGATTTAAAATATCCTCAGTGGTAGACGGATCATGAGTTAGAGTCCCTCTGTCATCAAGCGAACCGTGGGAGGTCTTCGTGCTTTTCCTCTCCGTGTAACGCAAATGCCGGTTAGTTCCATCAAAGAGTCATCCACGAAGGCAAGTTTCTCCCAATACTTGATCTAGAAGTTCCCTTGTATTCTGGATTGGGTTCAAAATTTCAAGGCTAAGGAGTTGAACATTAGTAGTCGTAAACTCAAGATTGAGTTTGTGATTTTATTTCAGTCAAGTGTTTCTTATTTTTCGGAAGCTCATAAAATCAATTAAATGACACATCAGCGCCAAATGGAAGTTATTTATTAAATAGAATCGCATAACTATTATTCGTTCGATCAGGCCAATCATAAAAGTTGTTTATTTTTAGTCTAAAAAATATCGAAGTTCATTTAGCATTACACTAATATTGAAAAATAAATTATGCATTTAAAAATACAATACAAATATAAAAATAATAGTAATTGTTGAAGACATTTATAAGCGAAAAATAAGAAAGTAAAATATTTTGTAATTATACTAGCGTAGCATGTATTTCAAGTTGAGCCTAAGTTTAGCATATAATTATTTTTGCTATAATTTAATAAATATTTTCAAAACATCCACTTTTTAAAAATGACTTGAGGTAATTTTTTTGAAAACTAGAATTATTTCTACAGATTATTAATTTTATCTATCACCAATCTTTTAAAATTTATAAAACTCAAATATTATTAAATGAATATGTACGGAATGAATAGATATTTTTTCATAAAAACTTTATATTTTGCAAACCATAGCATAACACATATTTCAGATAAATAAGAATCTTGCAGGTAACTGACTTAATGTGATTATCGCCTTATTTTAAAAAGAATTGACAATGATATTTTTGAGGTTCAACATTTAATTATAATTACATTCAAATAAAAACATTAAAAATATTGTCATTTTAAATATGTGTTGTAAATCTTACTGATCATGCATGGGAAAGTATCTTTTAATTTAAAAATAAATTCTAGAGCTTGTAAAATTTACAAAATTCAAGTATTGAAAGTCACTAATGGAGAAGTGTGTATTAAGTACAATGTAAATTTAAAGCAAGTATTCCGTTTCAGACCTTACAAAATTCTCTAATTTTAAATGCATTTGAAATTATTTCAGTTATTTAGTTATTTCATATTTTAGTCATCTGGTATTAACAAGCATACATTGAAGTACACCTTTGTCGACTTAATATTTAACAGATTTTTTTATAGGATCACTTTAATTTTTTACATAATAAAAAAGATTTAGTGGATTTCATATTTTTGACAAAACGAATTTATTTAAAAAAATGTTATTGAATTTGCAATTGCAATTTTTTAAAATTCTTTGTAAAGTGTTGGTTTTATGTTACTATGTCAACAAATTTGAAAATACAAGGAGAATAAAATTCTGAAATAATTATCGAACTCCTTGGTAATGATATTTATCAGATATCAGATTAAAAAAAAAATTAAAAAAAACAAACAAACATAATTTTGGTTAATAAAATCTAACTATATGGGATTTCAGAAATTCATTTGATAATTTTCCTTCTTTCCGTTCATATTGTACCTGTTTACCAGAAATTCTGGTTTTTTAAATTATAACTCTTATTACCGCACATCTAGTTAAAACTTCGAAACTGAAAAGTGAACTGGTATTTTATGCTATGCTTTAAGGTTTCATGATAAAATTTCCCAATTTTACAACATGTACGACATCAATATTACATATTATAAAACCATATTTTAGTGTTAATTTTACCAAAATCATCACCAAAGTGCTTCATTAAATATTTTTGAGTGTTATAGTGGTCCGATAGCACGGTAAGTTATACTATATTCTGGTAGTTTTGACAGTACTTTTTTCTTAGTGTAAAATCAAAATTCAGTTCTTATTCAGTTAAAATCAAGTTAAAATCAAAATTATATAAGTTTTAAAATGCAAATTTTATTTTTAAATATTATGTGTAGATTTGTGATAATTTTTGGGTAATATTTTAAAAAGTTGTAGAGTTTTTAAAATTGATTGCTATTTTTAAATACAAATTTATATGCTTTTGATTTATGAAATAAGTACTTTTACTTTAGATTTGACTTGTTTATAATGTCAAATATGTTGATATAACGTTTGCATCATGAAACATACATTTTACGAAACATTCCAAAATAATTTATTTTAATTATGAAATATAAACTATATTCTTTTAAAACTAAAATAATATATTTTGGCAAAAAACTAAACCCAAATATCTATACTGAATAATGTAATACTTTTGTATGTTATGTAATACTTCAATGTATAATTTTGTATCTACTGTAACAAATTGGATTAATGCATCAAAAATGTTTCATATGGAATAATTTCGGGAATTATCCTTATTTTGGTAAACGATGTCTTTGCCAATACTGCTTAGATCCCTTAATAACTAATACAAATAACTAAACAAATGACAAATAATAAATAACAGCGAAACTTATCTAATAACTACTAGAGGAATTCAAAGAAAGCTTGCATCAAAAAGTTAATTATATACAACATCCTTTGACATAATATAACATTTTAGTTATTATAATAATTATATAAATGTTGAAATAAATATCTGAAAAGAATTGGTTATATTATAAATATGATTAAACGAAAAATTAAAAAAAAAAACAAACAAACAAGTTTCTATAAACATATATATAACAAAGTAAAATTACAAATGATTTCCGAAATCTTGCATTTATGTTACATGCATATTCTTAAATGCTTACAATAATCTGTAAAAATCATTTGTCATGCATAGCTTACATTAATATCTTAAAAGTTGGATCAATAAATACCTAATATTTTTAAAGATATAAAAATTGTTTAAATAACAATAAGAGTATGTTTAAATTTATTAAGCTATAAATAAAAATGCACACTATTTCTTTAAATGATATTTAAAAACTATAATTAAATTATTGTACATACCAACGATTAGAACTAATTATTTTTTATTGCGGCAAAAATAGGAAGCAGAGAGTCTTTTAAACTATTGTCCAGCGTGAAAGGCCACTGAAAGTCTAGTGGCGACTCAAGCAAAGATGGTGACAAAGAATATTAATGGATTTTGCATGGATAAAAATGGAAAAAAATCGCATCGCAGCGGGTATTTTGAAAGCAACTCAGCACCCGACAAATGGATTGAACTCAAGTTATTTCTTCTTTTATTTATACTAAAATTTATTTTATCATTTAGTTTTTGCTGTATTTTGAATAATATTAATAGTGCGTTAACGCATGAAAATTTATCGGCTTAAAATATCAGTTGTATTAATAAATAGAATTACATTAATTTTTAATTCACATTTCTGTAGATTTTATCGAGGTATGTGACATTTATGAACGATGTCGTCAAAAATGGGAAATATATATTGTTATTCGCTTAAGACTTTTAAAATTTAAAGAAGACGCTATATTGCTGGCAAAATTTCCTCCATTCACATAAGTTATTCGAAATTAAACGTTCAAAAAGAGTGAATTCAGATAAATCTAGAGAAAACTATGAAGATTCAAATGCTGAGTTTTTTTTTAATTAATAAGATGCTGAAGAATTATGGCAGTTTAACTCAGTGCAGTGGGGAAGTAATCCTACAATAATTTGCTCGAATTTTGAAAAAAATTTACGTTTTTCTCTTGGTTTGCCTGAATTTATAGTTCAAGTAATTTTAAAATACCAATGAAGGTGAAACGAAATTCGCCGTAGAGCGTCCTCATAAGTCGTTTTCAGCTCGTTATGAATGCTTAGAACCTATGAGCTTTTAATTCATTATTATCAGACACTTTTTAAGACTTTTCTATTTATTAAACATTGCAAAAGTGTAAATTTATACACCATTCAAGATTTTTTTTATATATTCTCATCTCATCACCTTTTTTACCTTACACTCGTTAATCCTTGTTTCTTAATTTAGTAAAACCTTTAACTTGTGAAATTTAAAAGGTTTAGAATATATTGCTTGGTATTTTGAATCAATTGTGTTTTTTTGGAAATCAAAAGTGTTATTCAATGATTGCACTATACACAACAACATAAAATTGAAATTTTTTTGCAAAATAGTTTCAAAATTATAGATTGTTAGAATGGAAAATACAATACTAGGAGGATTACCCGTTTTCGCTTTCCTTGCAAACACACGTAACAGTTTTCACAGTTCCTTTCGTATTTTTATTTTAATTTTTTCCCACTCTTTGGATATAGATATATATTTTAGTCTAGTTTTGTATGTAGATATTGCATTTTGTAAAATGACGTCAGAAAAATATACAACATATACATTTTGTGAAACGTTTGATTTTTAAACATTTCATTACAATTATGTTAATTAATATTTCACTTATATTAGTTTCAAAGTTACTTGAAAATTTAAATTGAATTCGAGTTAGGTTTCCTTCATGCGCAACATATTTCTTTTCAACTCCGTTGATGAAACGCATCTCTCTGCCATTAAAAGTAAAATATAGCTCTAAATTATTATATTATCTGCGTTAATTAATAAGTATACATCAAGCACAATTATAGAATAATATGCTTGTTTACATGCTCGTTTTTAACCTTTCACTTTTTTGCTCAATTTATAGTTCTGTTTGCTTCAGCTTTTAGTTACAAACTTAAAAAAATATTGCAGTGTTTTTGTAAAAATATGTGCATTAGTGTTTTAGATAAAATAGATTATGACACTTTATTCTTATTTTTTACTAAGCATGGGAAGGAACAAAATATTTGTAACGATACTAATGTAGATATATTTAAACACTTTATTCTATTTTATGAATCAAGCATAACAATTGTTGTTGACGTATGCCTGTTTAGGCAGAGTGGGTACGATTGTTCTTGTTTTCCAGTGGAGCCATCTATGGCCAAGAATTCGACTTCTGCCACACCATACGTCGCACCCGTACAACTATTATTTCAATAATAACAATAATAACAATTATNTTCAGGCAAATTCGAAATTTAACGTTCAGAAAGAGTGAGTTCAGGCAAATTCGAAATTTAACGTTCAGAAAGAGTGAGTTCAGGCAAATTCGAAATTTAACGTTCAGAAAAAGTGAATTCAGGTAAATCTGGAGAAAACTATGAAGATTCAAATGATGAGTTTTTTATTTCAAAATATTAAAATGCTAGCGAATTATGGGAATTTAAACCTAATGGAATGAAGTTACCCTATAATAATTTTTTTTAATTTTGAGAACATTTTAAGTTTTTCTCATGGTTTTCCTGAACATACATTTTACCAAATTTTAAAATACCAATGAAGGTGATTAGCCACGTCTTTTGTTGTAGAGCGTCCTCATAAGTCGTTTTCAGCTCGCTATAAATGCATGGACTTTTAATTTATTATTATCAAACACTTTTTTTAAGTGTGTAGGACTTTTCTATTTTTTAAACATTGCAAAACTGTCTATTTTTACACCATTTAAGAATTTTTTTTTATAGTCATCTCATCACCTTTTTTACCTTTCACTTGTAATTCCCCGTTTATTAATTTACTAAAACCTTTAACTAGTGAAATTTAAAAGGTTTAGAACATTTTTTTTCTTCTAATGGTGGGCACTTGGTTGTCCCATTGGCCTCAGAAAATGCCAGAACTGCTACTCTCTTCTCGTTATCCAGTGGGCACCTGTGGCGAAGCCACGGCGGTGGAGCAGCATCGCCCACGTCACACAACCACAACCCGTTTATAGGGCGGTTCACCTTCACTCAATTACACACAAAGGAGAAAGGACATAGAACACAGAGAGAAAGAAACATCCACGCCCTGAGCAGGATTCGAACCAGCGGATCCGCAGTCAGGCATGCTAACTGTAGCGTATCTACCACTACAAAATTACAACTACAATTCACTAGTATATAACTATGTCGGGGTACCTTTTCATAGATGACGGTTGACATTGTCTATAACAACTCATTGTCTATAACAACTCACTAACCACTCGGCCACCGGGTCGGCAGGTTTAGAATATATTGTTTGGTATTTTGAATCAAGGGTGTTTTTTGGAAATGTATTAAAAGTGCTATTCAATAATTGTACTATAATCACCAAACATAAAATTGCAATTTTTTTGTAAAACGCTTGCAAAATTATAGATTTTTTAGAATGGAAAACACCATACCAGGACGACTTTCACAGTTCCTTTCGCATTGTTTTGCCTACTCTTTGGATTAAGTATTTAAGTCTAGCTTTGTATGTTGATGCTACATTTTGTAGAATAAAGTCCGAAAAATATGCAATATGTATATTCTAGGATTGGGATAGCCTGGTTGGAAGGGTACTGTCCCCATGTCCAAGAGGTCGTGGATTCGATCCCCACTGGCCGAACATCCCCGTGTAGTAGATGGTAACTGATGTACGTTAAATTTGTCGAGTCATTAACCCCTCCATGTTCCCATAAGAAATCATACTTCTGGGGCTACTGATCCAGGAGTTTCCTTGTCTTCTGCATTGGGTTCAAAATTACAAGGCTAAGGAGTTGAACATTAGCAGCCGTAAACCCAAAATTGGGTCGGCTGTTCAACGACGGTTATTAAATATATATATATATTCTGTAAACAGTTAGACTTTTAAACATTTCATTGCGATTATGCATTTTAATATTTAACTTACATTAATTTCAATGCAACTTGGATACTTAAATTGAAACAAGTCAGAAAATTTTATAATTTACACAATTGTAAAAGTCAGTATTTGGCGACATAATAGTTTTAAATCTTTTATTCCAAACTCGTAAAATGTATAAAAATCAAAGAAAAATAATAGAGAATGAGTAAAAAATCATAGTAATAAAGTAAGAAAAAATGGAGATAGTATAACAGAGTTAGGTTTACTTCATGCGCAACATATTTCTTTTCAACTCCGTTGATGAAACGCATCTCTCTCCCATTAAAAGTAAAATATAGCTCTAAATTATTATATTATCTGCGTCTATTAATAAGTATACATGTAACACAATTACAGAATAATTTGCTTGTTTACATGTTCGTTTTCTACCTTTCACTTTTTGCTCAATTTATAGCTCTGATTGTTTCAGCTTTTAGTTACAAACTTAAAAAAATATTGCAATGTTTTAGTAATAATACGTGCATTAGTGTTTTAGATAAAATAGATTATGACACTTTATTCTTATTTTTTACTAAGCATGGGAAGGAACAAAATATTTGTAACGATACTAATGTAGATATATTTAAACACTTTATTCTATTTTATGAATCAAGCATAACAATTGTTGTTGACGTATGCCTGTTTAGGCAGAGTGGGTACGATTGTTCTTGTTTTCCAGTGGAGCCATCTATGGCCAAGAATTCGACTTCTGCCACACCATACGTCGCACCCGTACAACTATTATTTCAATAATAACAATAATAACAACTATAATAACAATTATTTCACAAGTTTTATATTAGAACTTAAGTGTGTTGCAAATTCGTTGTTTGTTTGAAAAATTGTTCTTATAATATGATAAGATAGAAATTAAATTTTTCTGGACCAATTCAATTACATCCTTAAAATTATTATTCATTTGTTTATTATGCAGTTTAGTAAATTTCTCAGGATATATCACGCCGATTAGTTTTGAGGAATGCATTTAGTTAAGTGGTCCCATGATGATGTATTTTCTTTTGCACTAATTGAAACTGAATCGAACACGAGGCATGTACGGAAAGTACCGTTTCGCTCTACCTCCACTGCAGCAATAGTGATGCAGTTCTGCGCATGTGCACACATGTCTCTGGTTGATTGCCTATCCACCGACGCCATTACAGCCAATTTTGTGTATACACGTCTTTGCGAGAGCTCAAAGTGTCCAAAACGATTGCCGATCCTGCCGACTGTGAAATCCTTTTTGCAATACGGTCTTTGAAAGCAAAGAATCTTAAGAAACCTGAAATTCAGCTTGAACATGTTGAGATTTATGGTGAAAATGTTACAAATAATGGAATGGTGGCACGGTTGATAGTTGAATGATGGGCGTCGCAATGTTCATGGCAAATCGCAAAGTAAATCTGAACCTTTAGATGCAGAATTTTTATGAAATATATTCTTCAAATTTTTTGATTTATTTTGTACTAATTTCGGTCAAAATAAGTGAAAAATATTATTTGTAGCATTTTAATAATGAATTGAATGGTTATGAAATACAGCATGAAGCACCGATACCCTTTTCTGTGTTAAAGTTAAAATTTTGCAAACACGGCTTACTTCCAAATAATATTTTTTCGAATTTGCATTCATATTTAGATCTAAGAGAAACAGTTATTCATCTTTGAAATTTCTTTAATCTACAAAATAAATTACCGATTCATTTTTAAATAATTAAAAAAAAATTCCAACTGACTTTTTTTTGGATTTAATGTTTTAGTACAAATGTAATTCCGATAATTTAACAGATTTTTTAATGACTATTAGAGTGTCAGAAAAAAATATATAAAAGGGACACTGAAGTCCCATCTGCGTTAAAGGGTTAAATTATCTCTTTTTACCTAACAGCATCTTTCTTTGAGGAGGGTACAGAAAAGTTAGCTTCCGGCCAGGGTTTCCGCTACGGTAGCTNTACCTAACAGCATCTTTCTTTGCGGAGGGTACAGAAAAGTTAGCTTCCGGCTATGACAAATGTTTGAAGGATGGGGGTAACTGTGTTGAAAAACAGTTTCTAAAATGCCCTTTCATGCGAAAATAAAATTCGTTTCGAAAAAAACATTTTTAGTCACGTTTTTCCAAAATGATACTTACTTTGGGGAAAACCAGGTAAATATCTACGTAAATATATGCTTACAGAGTGGTAGATCTTCAATGGTCCGAAATTTATTACTGAAGCTATTTCTTGAACCATTTAAATCTATTTAAACCTTCAAATAATATAAAAATCTTTAATCTTTTAAAAATGGATTGAAATTTAATCGGATCATTATTTATTTTTGGGAGCTAAATTTAAAAATCATCATTTGATTTCAAAAATGTTTTAAGTACAAAGACATAGACTTTATAGTGAATTTTATAATTTTAATAATGGCATTTTTATTTCAATTTCAAATATAACACATCAATTAATGAAATTTTCAGAAAAATCGATTCATCATTAATCCACAATACCTGCGTCGTGAACCATAACATTGACTTCGACCTTAATAAGATTTTAAAATGATCCATATTATCGTGTAATAAAACTTAAGAAGAACGATAATAGAGTTAAATAATGGCTCAGGGGATAGAGCGTTCGCCTTCCAATGAGGTGAACCGGGGTTCGATCCCGGCGATGGCTGTTCGATACGAATTCCGCTTCCGGCTTGCACCGACCACAGTTCAGACGTGAAATATCCTTAGTGGTAGACGGATCATGGGTTAGAGTCCCCTTGCCGTCAACCTATGCCTTACATCAACGTTTTAAG